GATTGGCCCTGCTCTGTGTGTGACAGGGTAGAGCCATAACCTCTCCATCAGCCCTGCCCCGAGTGTGACAGTGGTGGCGCCCCAACCCCCCTGATGGGCCCTGCTCTGTGCGTGACAGGGGGTGGCGCCGCAACCTCCCCATCGACCCTGCCTTGAGTGTGACAGGGGGGGGTGCCCCAACCCCCCAATCGGCCCTACCCTGAGCGTGACTGAGGGTGGCATCGCAACCTCCCGATCCGCCCTGCTCTGTGCATGATGGGGCGGCACCCCAACTCCCCAATCGGCCCTGCTCTGAGCCTAACCAGGGGCTGCACCTAGGGATTGGGCCTGCCCTCTGCCACCCAGGAGCAGGCCTAAGCCAGGTTGTTATCTCCTGAGGGGTCCCAGACTGTGAGAGGGCACAGGCCGGGCTGGGGGACCCCCCTGGACCCTCCCTCGAGTGCACAAATTTTTGTGCACCGGGCCTCTAGTATAATTATAATCTGAATGGTTTTGTGAGTGATGATTAGCTACTGATCTGATACAGTGGTAAAGTACATGACTTTATTACAGTATATTTGTGATTTTAAAAAATATCTGTTACCCTGGCTGGTGTTTCCCAGTGGTTAGAACATCTGCCCTCACACTGAAGGGTCTTAGGTTCAATTCCCCATCAAGGGCACCTACTTGGGTTGCAGGTTTCATCCTGGCCCGGATTGGGGGGGTGGAGTGCGGTTCTGCAGGAGACAACAAATGTGTCTCTCTCAAATCAAGTTTCTCTCTCTCCCCCCTTTCTTCCCTCCCTTCCACTTTCTAAAAATCAATGAAAATATATCCTTGGGTGAGGATTAAAAAGAAAGGAAAAGAAAAAAATTTAAAAATACCTTTCATTAGGAGAGTTTAACATGTTTTATATGTGCAACATCTTAATTTCATGCTGCCTTCCCACCTATTGAAGTGGCATTAAAAAGAATAAGGGGTTCCTCAACAATGTTTTGAGCACTTACTATGTATGGCCAGGCATTATGCTGAATGTTCACATAACCTACACTGATCACTTTATCCTCTCGATAACCTTAAGCAGAAGGTTCAATTAGGAACTCTGTTATATGAATGAAAAAATAAAGGATTAAGAGAAATTCAGCCCTAACTGGTTTGGCTCAGCAGATAGCATGTCGGCCTGCGGACTCAAGGGTCCCAGGTTCGATTCCGGTCAAGGGCATGTACCTTGGTTGCGGACACATCTCCAGTGGGGAGTGTGCAGGAGGCAGCTGATCAATGTTTCTCTCTCATCGATGTTTCTAACTCTCTATCCCTCTCCCTTCCTCTCTGTGAAAAATCAATAAAATATAGAAAAAAAAAAGAGAGAAATTCAGCAAATCATCTGAGGTCATAGTATAAGTGGTAGAGCTGAATTTAAGCCTAGGCCAATATGACTGTGCTAGATTGCCTTCTTTCTTAGGGCAAAAAAGAAAAATTAATCCAGTTCTAAATCACTGTGAAAATCCAAAAGGATCAAAACTCCCACTATTCATAACTCCAACAGCATTCATAACACCTCCTTCTCATGTGATTAGGTCACTTAACTGACTAATTAGCAGGCAACAGAGTGCAGCTGTTAAAACAATGAGTTTTAATTCCTATCAAGGGTTTTATTAGTTACTAGAGGCACACTGCACGAAGATTCATGCAAGAATGGGCCTTCCTTCCCCTGGCTGCCAGCACCGCCTTTGCTCTGGCCCGGGGCCACCTTTCCACCTTCCCACACTGCCCAGAGGCCCCGCTCCCAGCCACTCGGCTCCTGTGTACGTAAATTAACCTGCCATCTTTGTTGGGTTAATTTGCATACTCCTGATTGGCTGGTGGGCGTCATGAAGGTACAGTCAATTTGCATCTTCCTCTTTTATTAGTGTAGATGTGATATCTGGTTAATTAATTACCCTCACCTGAGGTCTTAGTTATTTCATCTGTAAAATGGATATAATAATAACTTGGTGGGTGGGGGGAGGAGCAGGTAAGAGATCAACCAAAGGACTTGTATACATGCATATAAGCAAACCAGTAGACACAGATACAGATACTAGGGAGGTGAGGGCATGTGCGGGGGAGGTGGGGGTGGGTGCAGGGAGGTCAATGAGGGAAAAGGACATATATGTAATACTATATGTAATACTTTAAACAAAACAAAAATAAATAAAAATACTGCTAAAAAATGCTAAAAAACAAAACAAAAAAACCCAACCAAACAAAAAGTAACAGCTTGGTTTAGTAAGTGAGATATTTAAACAGCACAGAGCATCTTACATACAGATGTACCTGATGAATGGTAGCTGTTACCATAGCTGAACTGGTCTTCTGTAAGGCTGTGGCTCTATAGAATCCTAGTGGATTCAGGACAAAAGGCCACCTTACTTAGCAATTGCACAGTCATTCTTCTCCCCATTGCTCTAGAAAACACTGAGAAAGCACATCCAGAAGTGATTGCTGAAGGAGGAACTTCAAAGAGCTCTCCTGTCATCCTGGGATAGAAGCCTCCACACTTGGCTCTGTAATCTGGATTTGAGAGCTGGAGGGAGTTAGATGTTAGCTTGTCCAGCCACATCTGGTTTTTCTTTTTTCCAAGTAATGAATCTATGAATTCAAAGTAATGAGTATATCTGGTTTAAACATGATTCAGCAGGGCAGATATTAAAAACGCACAGTCTGACTTTTGTCTGACTCCTCAGATCAACGACTTTTAGTCCATTTAGCTGTCTATTACAGATGTGACTTAAAAGCCTCTAATAAAGGCTTTCAATGCCATTTCCTGGTTAATCAATAGTAGACATTATCAATCAGTTTTCTCCTGTAACAGCTGAGGTTGTAGCTTACTCTTCCCCTAATTCCCTCTTCCCTCTACATACAGGGTGTCTCAAAAAATGTATACAGGTTGTACACACTTTAACAGCTGATAGCTCAATTGATGTTGCCTTTCAGATTTAACCCATTGGAATTAATAATTATTCAAAGAGTGTATACATTTTTTGGGACACCCTATATATTCCCAATATAATTATGTCATTATCTTTGCTACTTTTATAAGGTTATATTTTAAACGTTTACACTTTTTTTTGTCTTATTCCAGCAACTACCTGCTGAAATTATTGGCTTCAATTTTATTTATTTATTTATTTATTTATTTATTTATTTATCTATTTATCTATTTATTTAAAATGTATCTTTATTGATTTCAGAGAGGACGGGAGAGGGAGATAGAAGCATCAATGATGAGAGAGAATCATTGATCGGCTGCCTCCTGCACACCCCCTATGAGGGGTGGAGCCCGCAACCCAGGCATGTGCCCTTGACTGGAATCGAACCCATGACTCTTCAGTCTGCAGGCTGACACTCTATCCACTGAGCCAAACTGGCTAGGGTGGCCTCGATTTTATAAGAGGAGGGTATGCCCTGTCCTTTTCCTCAGCTGTCCATTTCTACCTTCCAACTCCCCATTTTCTGCACATTTACTTTCACAATGCCAGGACTGATAATATGTACTTCCCATTTTGTAACTGTAACATCTCCTGTGCTTGGTCTATTGGTTGACTCTGAAAGCTGAGTCAACAAATAGCATTCATATTCTTAGGACTAACGACAGTAGCCTTCCTCAGCATGATGCTGCTCATCGGGCTGGACCAGAGGAAATCACTGCCATCTCGAAACTGTACATCACTGGCCTTTGTGAAGCTACGGCAGCATCGTGTCAGAGCAAAGGCTCTGCAGTTAGGGTGGAGTTCTAGCTCCATTACACTCTAGATGTGTGAGTTTGGACAGGTCATTTATATTCCTTGTGCCTCAGTTTCCTTATCTATAAAATATCAGTAAGTACCCTGTAGGATTGTCAAGAGGATTAAAAGAGTTAGTCTTTATCAAGTATTTAAAAAAATGCTGGTCCATTGAAAGTATATGAATTTTCAAAAAAAATCAAAGACTGGCTTGGCTGGTGTGGTTCTGTTGTTGAGTGTCAACCTATGAACCAGGAGGTCATGGTTTGATTCCCAGTCAAGGCACATGCCCGGGTTGCAGGCTCAATGCCAAGTATGGGGGGTGCAGGAGGCAGCTGATCAATGATTCTCTCTCATCATTGATGTTTCTATCTATCTCTCCCTCTCTCTTCCTCTCTGAAATCAATAAAAATATATTTTAAAAAATCAAAGACTGGCTTTCTCATCTAAGAGGCAAATCTGGAGGTAACTAATGCTGCAAAAAGTTGTTCCAACAGAGTTATTCTGTGCCATGGCCCCTTGTTTTTCTTGGAAGATTTTTCAGCTGTTATAAGATTGTTATTTAAGGGGCCTAAACTCAGACATTCCCACTTTCTCTATTTAGAATTGAACAAAGATACAATTAAGCTCTCCACTGTTATTTTCTCTCATTATCTGCTTTATCCCACATTTTCTCATTTTGCAGGCTATGGGAAATGAAGCAAAGGTCCTTATTACAAACTGCACTGCAACATAAAATGCACAAACTGTCATTTTTGAAAGTAGGTGAAGATCCATTTAGAAATCTCAGGTCATAGGTTCATTTCTTAATTCAGTAATTCATTTATTGAAAAACAAAGAATTTTACATAATTTCTTGGTTAAATTTTTGAATTGTTTTTTGATTTAAACATAAACATTAAAACTTATCCATAAAAATGGCCCTTTTCTAAAACAAATGAATCAAAGAAAATGCCATTGTTATACTGCAGAAAGGCTGAAAGGAATTCTTTTTCTTTTTTGAATTCTTCCTTTTCTTTATTCCCTTAAGAAACTCTTTTATTACTAAATACTATTGAGGGATTACTATCAATTCTACTTAATTCAGTTCAACAAATGTTACTACACATTCTGTGTGCAAGGCACCATGAGGGATATGAAGCATAGTTTTCTGCCACTTAACAACATTGTTAGGCGATTTCACCACTGTGCGGACTTCATGGAATGCACTTACCCAAACCTACTGTACTCCTATGCTGCATCATATAGCCTATTGCTCCTAGGCTACAAGCCTGTACAGTATGTGCTTGTACAACACAATGTGAGATGAAATCAAGTACGACAGAAAATGATGCAATCACGAGACTGTAAACATGAGACTGCTGCCAGAGCAACACAGCACACTGTTACAGCAAACATTTAATAAGTAGAAAGAATACACATTGAATTAGTGGAAAGAATACACATTGAATAAGTAGAAAGAATGCACATTGAATAAGTAGAACGAATACACACCAAAAATAACAATAGAAAGTATAGAACAGTACGTATATAAATCAGTAATATGGCCATTTATTATCATTATCAAGTATTATGCACTGTATGTGATTGTATGTGCTATACTTTTATACGACTGGCAACACAGTAGTTGTGTTTATACCAGCATCACCACAAACACGAGAGTAATGCGTTGGTCCTACAACATTTAAGACAGCTGTGAGGACATTTTCTGTTATGCGTATTTTACCACAATAAAACAACAAAAAGAAACAACTACAATGTCGCTAGATGATAGGCATTCAGCTCCATTAGAATCTTTTGAGGCCAGCATTTTATATTCAGTCCGTCATAGACCAGAATTTTATGCACTGCACGACTATAGAGAAAAAGACCTCTATCTCCTTAAGATTCTGCAGTCTAAGAGAGCACAGACCAATACATTACCCCGGGGAAACAAACAAATATTTGAATAGAAACTGAAAGAAAAAAGTGCTATGGGCACATAAGGGACTTAGGAATGGTTTACTGGAAGATTGGATTTGAGTTGTGTGTAGAGGGTGTGTAGGATTCTAATAGGCAGGGTAGGGCATTGGGAGGGGCATTTCAATTCTCTCCTAAATCCAACTAGGGAAAAAAATTGTGTTGTTCCACGTAAGAAATCTTCATTTTCAAATATTGCATTCTATTTTAAGATCATTAAACTCTTTTAAAACCATTCAATATCAAGTTGACTTGCTTCATCAACAACTAAGCAGACTGAAGGAACTCCCACCCAATTGGGAAAGAAAGTGTATTGATATTCCAATCTGGAGTTTTTAAAAATTGTGCTTCATTACCGATTAATGGGTCAAGGAATTGATTTTGTTGTGAAATCAATTTAGAGGGTCATACCAGTGTTAAAAAATACATAATATAAAGAAAATACCATATGGTATAGTTCTGGGTAAGTATTCTAGTGAAACTTTTATATCAGTTTCATAGAGGTAGATGGGGTGGAGGAATGTATGTCTCTGTACATGTTTGTGTGTATGTGCACCTGTTTATACTAGTTACTTGAGAGGCAACAGAGCAAAGTGCTAAGAGAATAGACTGGAGCCAGATTACCTGATGTTGAACCCTTGCTCACCAAATACTGTCTGTGACCTTGTGCAAGTTACATAATTATTTCATTTTAGTTTCCTTGTCTGTAAGAGGGAAGCTGATTTAGTGTCTAATTGTGATTATTGTGAAGATTAAGTGAATATTGTGAAGAAATATTGTGAAGAAATCTTACCTAATAATAGACAAACACGTAAATTGACTGTACTTTCGCTACACTAACCAGCCAATCAGGAGAGTATGCAAATTAAACTAACAAAGATGGTGGTTAATTTGCATACGTAGGCTCCAAGTGGTGGAGCGAAGCCTGACGGCCGGGGGGCCGGAGGCCAGCAGAGCAGCGAGGCCTCACGGCCCCAGGGCTGGCTCCGGCCGGAGCCCGGTCAGAATGAAGGCCTGGGTCCCGGGTGCCGGAGGAAAACTGGTGCCAGCAGCCAGGGGAAAGGAAGGCCTATTGCACGAATCTCTTTGTGCAATAGGCCTCTAGTAATATTTATAAAATGCTCTTAATAGAACTTGATACATGGTAAACTGTGCATGTGTGACCAAGAGTCTCAGGCAAACATTTTGAAAGCCACTGTTTTAATTATTTTTAAATTAACCCAAATCATTTTTTTGTTTGTTTCAGAAGCATTTAAAGGAAACTAAGTTTCATTTATTGTACTGCCCATGAATCTATTGACACTATTAGCCAAACTTTATTTACCCAGATATTTTATTTTTTTAACATTTTCTTGTAATATATTTTTTCTTTTTTTAATTTCAAGAAAAACGATTTTAAATATAATAAAATGTTACATGCAATAAACATTAGTATTTCAAGAAAAACTATCTTAAATATAATAATGTTACATACCCCTGACCGAAAACGACAACCGCGCTCTCAGCCACCAGCCCGCTTTGCGCGCGCACCTCCGCACCTGAGTATTTTCCACACTGCGCCTCCTCTGAGCCTCGGTGTGCTGTTATTTTTCCTTCTAGTTGAAGAGTCTCTCCTCAGCCAGCCTTCCTGTGGTTCTGGGTGATGTCCGTTCCGTCTTTTAGTTGTATTTTTGAAGTGGTTGTTTGCAGCAGCAGTCTCCGGTGTTTACCTATGCCGCCATCTTGGTCTCTCCAGTTATTTCCTTTTCGATATTGTACTCGGCTGTTTCAAATCAGTGCAACTACTATTTTTGAGGATCTTCTCTGTGCCAGGCACATACTTCTCTTTCTGAAGACTCCTTCTCTATTTCTAACTCCTTCACCAAATTCTCTTTTACTTCTATTTCAACTCAATTCAGCAAGCATTTGAGTTTCTGTATGTGCAAAGCAATAGGTGTGGAAATATTAATACTTAGAAGAAGCAAACAGTCCAATGGGTGAAACACATTTGCAAAATGATGAATGCTGGACAGTGTAGAAAGTACTATAGAGACTAAGACTGGGGTCAATGGACGCGCCCAGAAAGCTGTAGTCACTTCTCCCTATGCAGGCTGGGGAATGCATCACAGGCTTACTTAGGAGTCCGGCACATTAATGCACAGGAAGACAAGGGAGAGCGCTTGCAGCAGGTGGTACTGGGTGTGCAAGGGCAAGATGAGTATGACATGGCCTGTTCTGGGAACCATGTAAGATTCCAAGGGGGAGAGAAGGGAGAATAGACCGAGGAGATAGATTGAGGCCAAGTCTTGGAGGGCTTTCCATGTTAAAGATTAGAATAAGATACTATCCATTTGGATATCAGAAATATTGATACATTTTAAGCAGTAGGGTAACATGATTGAATCCTTCATTCATGTAACATATTACAACACACTGCCCTTTGCCATGACTGAGATAGGTTCTGGGCTTAGGAGGGCGGAGCGACACTGTAGCAGAGGTTAAGAGCACTGATTTTGGAGCCACATTTCTAGGGTTGGAATTCTGGCTCTATTGTGACTAGCTTCATGACTTGGACAAGTTAGTCAATCCCTCTGTACCTCATTTTCCTCACCTACACAATACAGATAAGAATAAAATCAACTTTTAGGATTGCTGTGAAGATAAATTTATTAATATACAGAAAACACTTAGACACTCACTATCTGTCCTTTCGAATCTCTTATCCTAGTGGACAATGTAGAAAATGAAGTAATAATTCATTTGAAAATATAATTACAAATTTGCTATTATAAAAATTATATGAAAGAATCAAGAGAGTAATAGGGAGGTTGGAGGGATGCCTTCTTTATTTAGGGTGGCCAGAGGACATAATATTGAATCTGAAGAATCAGTCAAACACTCTTTTCTCTAGACCAGTGGTTCTCAACCTGTGGGTCGCGACCCCTTTGGCGGTCGAATGACCCTTTCACAGGGGTTGCCTAAGACCATCCTGCATATCAGATATTTACATGACGATTCATAACAGTAGCAACATTACAGTTATGAAGTAGCAATGAAAATAATTTTATGGTTGGGTCACAACATGAGGAACCGTATTTAAAGGGCCAGAAGGTTGAGAACCACTGCTCTAGACATTTAGCTCAAGCCCATAACTTCAGTTTCCACCTCTCTGTGATTGTGTCTTAGTCTGTTCAGGTTGTTGTAACAGAATACTGGGAGGCTTATAAAC